GAAACAGCATACCAAATCAAAACCTCATCCCCACTGTGAAACATGGCGGAGGGAGCATCATGGTTTGGGGCTGCTTTGCTCCCCCAAAGGGCCCGGGGCCCGGATTGTTGCCCATTAAATGGGAAAATGAATTCCAATTTTTTCAAGACATTTTGCAGGAAAAATGTCCGACCTCTGTCCGCCCGGGAAGCTCCCCGAGGATGGGTGATGCAACGGGGGGGGAAAAAGACCCAAAGCATACAAGTAATTCAAAAAAAACAAGGGCTGCAACAGCAAGAATACGTTTTTTGGAGTGGCCAGCCCGGGAGTCCTGCCCTTAAAACCCGATTAAAAAGGGCTGTGGCATGACCTTAAAGGTGGCTGTGGACGTGGTATACTTTGATAGAGGGGGCGGTGAATGTGGTATACTTGGAAAGGGGGGGGCGGTGGACGTGGTATACTTGGAGAGAGAGGGGGGTGGATGTGGTATACTTGGACAGAGATGTGGCTGTGGACGTGGTATACTTGGACAGAGGGGCGGAGGTAGATGTGGTAAACCTGGACAGAGATGTGGCTGTGGACATGGTATACTTGAACAGAGGGGGGGGGGGGGGCGGTGGATGTAGTATACTTGGACAAAGATGTGGCTGTGGAAGTGGTATACTTGGAAAGAGGGGGGCAGCAGACGTGCTATTCTTGGACAGGGGGGGGGGGGTGGATGTGGTATACTTGGACAGAGATGTGGCTGTGGACGTGGTATACTTGGACAGAGGGGGGGGGCGGTGGGACATGGAATACTTGGACAGAGGGGGGTGGTGGACGTGGTATACTTGGACAGAGATGTGGCTGTGGACGTGGTATACTTGGCCAGAGGGGGGCGGTGGACGTGGTATACTTGGACAGGGGGGGGGCGGTGGATGTGGTATACTTGGACAGAGATGTGGCTGTGGACGTGTGTATACTTGGACAGAGGGGGGGGGGCGGTAGATGGGGTATACTTGGACAGAAGGGGGGGGCGGTGGATGTGGTAAACCTGGACAGAGATGTGGCTGTGGACATGGTATACTTGGAGAGAGGGGGGGGGTGGATGTGGTATACTTGGACAGAGATGTGGCTGTGGACGCGGTATACTTGGACAGAGGGGTGGGGGGACGTGGTATACTTGGACGGAGGGGGGGGGGGGGCGGTGGATGTGGTATACTTGGACAGAGATGTGGCTTTGGACGTGGGATACTTGGATAGAGGGGGGTGGTGGACGTGGTATACTTGGAAAGATGGGGGGGGGGGGATGTGGTATACTTGGACAGAGGGGCAGTGAACGTGGTATACTTGGACAGAGATGTAGCTGTGGACGTGGTATACTTGGACAGAGGGGGGGCGGTGGGATGTGGTATACTTGGACCAGGGGGGGGGCGGTGGATGTGGTATACTTGGACAGAGATGTGGCTGTGGACGTGGTATAATTTGATAGAGGGGGCGGTGGACGTGGTATAATTTGATAGAGGGGGCGGTGGACGTGGTATACTTGGAAAGGGGGGGCGGTGGACGTGTTATACTTGGAGAGAGGGGGCGGTGGACGTGGTATACTTGGACAAAGATGTGGCTGTGGAAGTGGTATACTTGGACAGAGGGGGGGCGGTGGATGTAGGATACTTGGACAAAGATGTGGCTGTGGACGTGGTATACTTGGACAGAGGGGGGCAGCAGACGTGGTATACTTGAACAGAAGGGTGGTGGTTGATGTGGTATACTTGGACAGAGATGTGGCTGTGGACGTGGTATACTTGGACGGGGGGGGGCGTGGACGTGGTATATTTGGACAGAGGGGTGGCGGTGGACGTGGTATACTTGGGCAGAGGGGTGGTGCGCGGTGGACGTGGTATACTTGGACAGAGGGGTGGCGGTGGACGTGGTATACTTGGACAGAGGGGTGGCTGTGGGCTTGGTATGGTATTTTCTCTTTATCGGACCATTCTCTGTAAAATCAGTGGTGTATGTAGGTTTTGTGCTGCCCTAGGCAACACAAAAAATCAGCCACCCCCACATCCCCCTGTGGAGAAAGTCTGACAACGACCAACGCCGCCCCCACCCCCTGGAGGAAAGAGCCTGAGATATTGATCAATAATACACCTGACCCCCCACCCGAGAGAGCCTTCCTCTACCATTGCCCCCCATACACTGCCTTCCCCCACCCGGCGAGAGAGAGAAAGACAATCACCTTCACAGCTCCGGACCTCCTCGGGAATGAGAGTCAGGCTCTGCATATACTGTCAAGCAGCCTCCAGACTCTCTCTGATCCCACCTGGTCCCCATGCTGCGTGTGTCCCTTCTTCTATCCTTTCTTCCAGAGGGTGGCACAGCCACCATGAAAAATCCCGCCCTAGGCAAATGCCTGGTTTGCCTTGTGGTAAATACGCCCCTGCTGTAAACCCTAGAGATGGTTGTGCATGAAAATCCCAGTAGATCAGCGGTGTTTTGAAATACTCAGACCAGCCCGTCTGGCACCAACAACCATGCCACGTTCAAAGTCACTTAAATCCTTTTTCGTCCCCATTCTGGTGCTTGGATTGAACTTCAGCAAGTTGTCTTCGCCACATCTAGATGCCTAAATGCATTGAGTTGCTGCCATGTGATTTGGCTGATTAGCAATTTGTTACCAAACGATTGATCAGGTGTACCTAATAAAGTGGCCGGTGAGTGTATATGGGTACGGTCAGTGGGGAAGGGGTTAATGATGTATTATTGATTACAGAGCTGCATTCATTTGTGTCTTTTTATATCTGTCTGCCCCATCATTGGTGTCAGTGGGAGGAATAGTGTCCCATCATTGGTGTCAGCGAGAGGAATAGTGTCCCATCATTGGTGTCAGTGGGAGGAATAGTGCCCCATCATTGGTGTCAGTGGGGAGGAATAGTGCCCCATCATTGGTGTCAGTGGGAGGAATAGTGCCCCATCATTGGTGTCAGTGGGAGGAATAGTGCCCCATCATTGGTGTCAGTGGGAGGAATAGTGCCCCATCATTGGTGTCAGTGGGAGGAATAGTGTCCCCATCATTGGTGTCAGTGGGAGGAATAGTGCCCCATCATTGGTATCAGTGGGAGGAATAGTGTCCCATCATTGGTATCAGTGGGAGGAATAGTGCCCCATCATTGGTGTCAGTGGGAGGAATAGTGCCCCATCATTGGTGTCAGTGGGAGGAATAGTGCCCCATCATTGGTGTCAGTGGGAGGAAAAGTGCCCCATCATTGGTGTCAGTGGGAGGAATAATGCATTATCGCATGTACTGCTGAGATTTTTCATGCGGATGTTTGTCCTGAAATCCACCAGTTTATGGCCAACTTTGACCAGTGCAGATAATTCCTCGGGGACGAGGAGAGATTTGTGATATCTAAGGCTCCGTTCACACCAAGGCATTTTTAGTGCTTCATGCAGAAAACGCACTACAGCCCATTTCACATGGTTTCCTATGGAGCATCTGGTGTGAACAGGCCCTAAGGCTAGGTTCACATATGTGCGGGTGGTGCGGCTGTGGATCCGCATGAAAATCCACCACCCACACAGAGGAATGCAGACCCTGCAGGTGGGTGCCATTATTTCTAATGGCACGCCGCTCGGACTGGAAAACACAACCGTACTGGGAACTGTTTGGGCTGCGTTTTCAGAAGAAGTGCCGGGACTTCTTTCCTGCGTGTTATGGGGCACGGGAGTCCATTCAAATGAATGGGCTCTTGTGTCCAGCGCAAAACGGGGCCCGCACGGCCGCATATATGTGAACCAGGGTTTAGGGTACATTTAGGTTGCCATAGACATTATAGGCACAATCTCATCACCTTCAGGCATTTATGTTGGCTGCCAGATCTGCAAATAGAAACCGTCATATCGGGTGAAAGTAGATCTGCAATGGAAACCGTCATATTGGGTGGAAAGTAGATCTGCAATGGAAACCGTCATATTGGGTGGACAGTAGATCTGCAATGGAAACCGTCATATTGGGTGGACGGTAGATCTGCAATGGAAACCGTCATATTGGGTGGACAGTAGATCTGCAATGGAAACCGTCATATTGGGTGGACGCAGGTAGACCTGCAATGGAAACCGTCATATTGGGTGGACAGTAGATCTGCAATGGAAACCGTCATATTGGGTGGACGGTAGATCTGCAATGGAAACCGTCATATTGGGTGGACAGTAGATCTGCAATGGAAACCGTCATTGGGTGGACAGTAGATCTGCAATGGAAACCGTCATATTGGGTGGACGGTAGATCTGCAATGGAAACCGTCATATTGGGTGGACAGTAGATCTGTGCATATGGAAACCGTCATATAGATCTGCATATGGAAACCGTCATATTGGGTGGACAGGTAGATCTGCAATGGAAACCGTCATATTGGGTGGACAGTAGATCTGCAAATGAAACCGTCATATGGGTGGACAGTAGATCTGGAGGAATGGGCAAACCGTCATATTGGGAGGACGGTAGATCTGCAATGGAAACCGTCATATTGGGTGGACAATAGATCTGTCAATGGAAATCCGTCAATTGGCATACCATGTTGGGTGGACAGTAGATCAGCAATGGAAAGGAAACCGTCATATTGGGTGGACAGTAGATCTGCAATGGCAACCGTCATATTGGGTGGACGGTAGATCTGCAATGGAAACCGTCATATTGGGTGGACGGTAGATCTTGCAATGGAAACCGTCATATAGGGTGGACTGGCAGATCCTGTCAATGGAAACCGTCATATTGGGTGGACAGTAGGAGCTGCATTATGGAAACCGTTCATATAGGGTGGACAGTAGATCTGCAATGGAAACCGTCATATTGTGGTGGACAGTAGATCTGCAATGGGAAACCGTCATATTGGGTGGACGGTAATAGATCCTGCAATGGAAACCGTCATACTGGGTGGCGCGTCCGATCTGCAACCCAAACCATCATATTGGAGTGGACGGTAGATCTGCAATGGAAACCGTCATATTGGGGCTGGACAGTAGATCTGCATATATGGAAGCCGTCATATTGGGTGGACAGTAGACCTGCAATGGAAAACCTTCATATTGGATGGACGGTAGATCTGCAATGGAAACCATCATATTGGTGGAATGGAAGATCTGCAATGGAAACCGTCATACTGGGTGGATAGTAGGATCTGTCAATGGAAACCGTCATATTGGGTGGACAGTAGATCTGGCAAATGGAAAACCGAACAGCAATGGAAAACCCCATATTGGGTGGGCGGGAAAATCTGCAATGGAAAAACCGTCAAAATGGGGACGGTGGGAAAGGGGTTAAGCCCCCAAGTTTTATGTTCCACCTTTGTCTCTCGAGCCAAAGCCCGTCCATCCCCTTTAAAATCACCCTCCATTTTAAGCCCGTGGGTTTTTTAAAAAAATTGATTTTCTTGTTTTAAAAGGTAAAAATTTTTTCCCGGAGTTAGGGGAAATTTTCCCCTTTTTTCCCTTTTCCAAATGGGAACTTCCCCTTTTTTCCCTTAAAATAAACCTAAGAAATGAAAGTCTGGGGGTGAGCCCACATCCTGTTGAAAGGTTTTTTAAAATTTTAGGGCCCAAAGAAAAAAAAACTGTCTGCTTTCTGAAGGTTTGGGGCTGAAAGTTCCCAAACATTGACCCCATATACTAATTTAAATTTAAAATATATTCCCAAATGATTGGGGATGATTTACGTATGTTAATATTCTAAAAGG